CTAATGATTATATTTTATCATTATTGCAAGATAAATTTTTTGTTTTATTTTTTTTGAATATTTAGAAGTAATTGATTGATGAAAAAATAAAAATAATAAAAATAAGAATAAATAAAGAATAAGATATTAATTAAGAAATAATTATATTAATAATACAAGCTTAAAAATATATTTATATAAGAAATATAAAAAAATCAAATTTTATATTTTAAACTATATTTAAGCTATATAAAAATAACACATATACATATATATATAGTGCACAAAAAAAGTTTTTGGAATAATGTTTTTATTAATTATATAATGAAAAATAGTTAGAGAAATATGAAATTTTATAAATATCTTTTTTATAATATAATAAAATATTTTACTTATTACTAGTAGCTTATCTTATTATTATTTCTCTCAATTATTTTATTCAATCTCATCAGTATGCTATGAATCAAATTAATATAGATACTTTAATCAATCTCTTTCTATTTTTTCTGAATTATTCCATAAAAGATCTTAATTATGATTATTTATTTTTTTACTGATATATCATTAACTTGTTTTTCAATTTGAATCTTTAAAATTTGTCATAAATTTTTAATTGGATTGAGATCTGAACTGTTTGAGAGTTATTCCAATAATTTTGAATATTATTATGCAAGAAGCTTTTTTGTTTCTTTGGCTATATGTTTAAAATTATTATCTTGTTAAAAGATCTAATTTTTACTTATAATATTATTCATATTTTCAAATAGATTTCCAGTTAATATCTTTTGATACAAAGTATTATCTATAATATTTGTAAAAAGAAAAAAGTCAATTGGATCTTTCACAGAAAATGCATTCTAAATATGAATTTTGTATAAATATTTTATTATAATTTTATAAGAAGGTTATGTATCAGATTTATAATATATTTTTTGAATATTTCTGAATATTTATATACTGATTTCATCAGAAAAGATAACTTTATTCTAATTCTGTTATCTATATTTCATAGCAAATTTCAAATAGTATTTTTTGTATCTATCAATGAGAAGAGGAATGGTTTTTGGGATAGTACAATAATATTATAAATTATAAAATTTGTTGAGTACTATATGACTACTAATATTAAGATCAGGATGATGCTTATTTAATATATTTGCAAGTTTGATAAAGATAGAGTATCTATTACTTGTGACTAATTGATCAAGATGATAATATTAATTAGGAAAGAGTTTTCAGAATCTATTAGAATGTGATTTAGAGTCCAAAGATTTTTATTTTTAAGTTTTTTTATATAATTATATATAGAAAATTTATGTATAGTATAGGTATCATGAATATCATTTACTTATAAAGTTATTATTATTTTGCAATTTTGATTAATTGAAGACTTTATTATTATATTATTAGTAAAAAAATGAAAAGTATAAATAAAATAAATGAATTAAATAAATAATAAAATAGTACTATTAAGTTTTTTTTGTATTATATATATAATAATAAAGTATATAAATTATATTAGATAACTTTTTTAATTAGACATATATATAATAGCTCTCTTTATAGTGAGGATATAAAATCCAATAGTTTTCTATATTATAATAAACTATACACAAAAAAAAATCTTACTATATAGTGTATTTTAATAATATATCATGTGACATATACTATAGTGAATTTGATTAAAAAGAAATTTATTTCATATTAATATACAAGAAAAAGCAATAAAAGTTTAAGCAGAAAAAAAAAATAAATGACCGTAACTTTACTAAAAGTATTGAATAATACTAAACTGATACTTATTTTCAATATTATTTTGAAGAATTTGATTCTTTAAACTATTTAATATTTTCATAGTCACAAAATTAACTTCCTCAAGATTATTATGTTATAAATATTTTACTATATTTACTAACTCTTCCAAAGTATCCTTTACTTTTATCAAGAATTCAGACTCTTTATTATTCTCTGGCTCTTGAGTATCTTCACTATTTATGAATTTGACAATTTTCTCATCTGTTATTTACTTCTTACTTATAACTTGATTATCAATTAGAATATACTCTTCCATAATTATGAGATTAGAAATATGTAGTATTTGGTCAATGAGAATTATGAATTCTTGTTCAACTTCAGTATCATTAGAGAATGGATTAACTACTACTAGATTATTATTCCAAGTTATAGAAAAAGGAAGTATATCTGTACAATACTAATTATTTTTAATCATAGTTTGTATTATAGAATTTCAGGCAATAGCAGAAAATTTAATCACATCTTGAATGATAAGTAAACTTGGAATAAGAAATTCAAAAGTAATAAGTTCATAAGCTTCAAGTTGATTTTGATATAAGATTCATTAATAATATATCTGATAACAAGTGAAATACAATTTTTATAAGATATACAAAAGGAAATATTTAAATAGAAAAAATATGCAGAGTAATAATAATACTAATTATAATATCTTCAAGCTATAAATAATTTCTTGATCTATTGGCTATAAATATGATATTGTATTAGAAGGAAGAAAGTAAACTTGAATATTAAAAAGAGTTTCAAGATTTTCTGTCTCATGATATTTGATATTATCTATTAAAAGAAGAATATACTGATTGACTCTACGTATTATACTATTAAGTTAATAAATAAAGACCAATCTTTACATCCAAGTCTTATTATTAAAGTAATATCATATAGAAAGAGTATTTTTATCAATTTCTTGAAGAATAATCAGAGTTTTGTATTTGTGAATAAATAGTAAAGGCAATTTTTTTTTCTATTGAATTGTATGTTATTATAATACTAATATAATCTTTAGACATTTTTTTTTCAGTTACAAATTTATAAGTGAGAGTTTAACTTGGCATGAGTTTTCAAAAAAGTATCATCTCATCACAGTTAAAGATATTTTCTAGAGAATATTCATGAAGAATCTCTTATAATTCTGTCCAAAATCATGAAATTTCTTTAATTAGAACACTTGCTAATTCTTCTTTTTGTTTATATGAGTTAAGTTTATTTTATTTTTTAAACTTTGCAAGCCATCTATCAGAAGTATTAAAGGCTTGAACATCAAGTCTTCTAGTAAATCATTTTGCTTTTTCTTGAATCATATGCTCTTATAGCATAAGCTCTTGAGTAATGGCTTGATCAATCCAAATTATCATTACTTCTTCAATTTTAGAAAAGGTACTTTTTCAATTATATTTGAATCTAGTGATAGTTAATTTTAGTTTAAGATATAACTAATATAAAGATCTTTTAAGAATTTTAGAGATAGCTTGCTTACTAATTTCAAAGTCTTCTGCTAGCTCTCAATCTTTTATTAAGGGAAAGTTTCTTTTTTTTCATATAATTTTCTTTTTCTAAAAAATAATTTTGCATTATTATTTTTTATTATTAATAAATAATCTTACATATTATCTAAAATAATAGAAACTCTTGCATTATTATAATTCTTGCTTTATTATTTTTTATTAATTATATTCTTTGCTTCAGTCAAGATAACATATTTTTTGAATATTTCTTGATCATCTCTATCTCTAGACTGTGATAGAATTATATTAATGATCTGTTCATCCATAATAAAGAAGAAAAAATTTTTTCATTCTAATCTGATTAAATCATTATCTCTTCACTATATCAAATAAAAATCCACAATATAGTAATTTTGTATTATATACATTATATAGAGATGCACTAGACTATAATCAATCAATCATATTTCCTTCATTAACCAAAATCTGTATAGTTTCTATATAAATACATTATATAGAACTAGTTTAATTAGAAGAAAAAAAAGTTTCTAATATTTCTTCACAATATTTAAAATCTACTATAGTGAAGATCCATTATAAAGAGAGTCACTATGTATTTCAGAAGAAAATTGTATTTAATTGACATACATTTTATTCCAAAAACTTTTTTCACATACTATATATGAATATATATATACATAATTGAATTTGTAATAATAATTTGTTAAAATATATAGACTATTTTCAAAATTTAATAACTCAATAATTAAGTAAGTTATTTGCAAAAACTTTTTATATTTTATAATACTATTTATACTTTTTATAATAAATGTAAAATTATAAGATATTATTAAGTAAATTATTTTTTGAAATAATTCTAAATATTAATATTATAAAATTCTATTTACCAATTTTTAATAATATACAAATATGCTTTAAGTAAGTTTAATATTTTACTATTTAAACTATAATAAAATTTTGCAGAAATATTATCTATAATATACACTAATAATAATATAAATTCCAAGACTATAGAATATATAGTTGTAAATTTATTCATAATTAATTAAAAATTAAAGAAATAGTTTATGATTTTTGAGATGATACTATATATTATATCATGAAATAGCTTTTTCTAATTTTCTTTCATATGTTTGTAATATACTAATCTCTTGAGATAAAACTTTATAAATAATTCTTGTTTGGTGAATCACTTTTAATAGCAAGAATTTATAAATCAAAAAATAATCTAGCAAAAATAAATAAAATAAATATCAATTTCAAAGATATTTTACTTTATGGGGAGATATTAATTTTTCATGATCTTTGCACTGCTCTATTTATAGAAATCTCAATAATAATTTTTTTAGGAAACTTGGCTAAGACTTTGAATAAAAAATTCATGTATGATTAAATATACTTAATTTTTACGTATGACAAATCATGTGACTGTTAAGATAAATCATCGATAAAGGTTGATTTCTGTCACATGCAGAAATTCGTGTGCTAAGTAAAGATGTCTATTGAAGAAGCAGAAGCAGGTAAGCGTGTTTCCGCAAATAAGTATACCTTTGCTTGTTTGTTCGCTTAACACAACTTTGTTTTAATAGCAATCCAAGAGTACATAGAGACGACATATCCCAGAAAACTGTCTTACAACGAATTTTTATCCAAAAATGAGAAGCTGTTAATCGCAGAACACAATCAAAAAACGTGGCCTGAGCAAAACGGACTGTGGAAGAAACGATTTTTAAATGTCGTCAAAAAAACGATTATAGATGAGAATATGATTCAAAAAGTTATGTAGTATTTTATAACTTTGTAAATTATTTGTTGCTACTGCAAAAGAGCATAGGCGATCCGAGCCCGTGGTAGAACATCGGAGTAGCGTACCAATGTTGTCCCTCCATGTGGGCGTATTTGAATATTTTTCTAGTAAAAAACTTAAAACTTTTTTATTAGTAAATCACATACGCCTATATGTGCCTTCTGTCATCCATCCTTAATAAAATATATCTTACAGTATCCTTTTTTTATTACAGATTAAAAATGAAAAAACAGACAAGGATTTTTGGTGTTATATCGAAAATTCTCAAAAACTAGAAATAATTCGGGAGAGACAGGTAACAATTAACTGAATGGTTTATATGTAAATATTCTGTTTAACAATGTATCGTTTTTTGCATAATAGGTGAAACTTATTAAACGGAAAGTTGATTTGTGCTCAATAGAGATCTACGATAGATCAACTTCTCAACAAGGAGCTGAAATTTTGGACCTCTATCCTCCTCAAAAAAAACTGTGTAAGGACATCGAACTTGATGAAGGTGAAATCATTGAGAAATATGATGAAAATTTAGATACGGGTAATTATGCTTCATTCTGGATTATGTTAAACCTGTAAAAACTATAACTTAAAAATTTTTTAAAGCAGATAAAGGAACCAAGGAATCTACTAAATTACAGTCTGATTCAGAGAAGCTCCGTGATGAAATTTGTGAAGTTCGCAGTGAAATCCGTAACGAAATTCGCAATATAATTCGAGACGAAATTCGGGAAATCTGTAAAGGAATTTGTGATGGAATTCGCGAAGAAATCCGTGATGCGTTGAAAAAATAAATAACTTTAAAGGCCACGAGATGTAATAATTTTCTACAAATAGATATTTACTAAAATCAAGTGCTATTGCTATTTGTATTTGTTGTGATACAATACTTTGCGCAGAATTATTGATCCAACTAGTTGGGTAAACTTTTATAAATTTAAGAGGCTCACATGATACTGCATATAAAACCCGAAATTTAAATAAACTTTATGCCTTGTGATTGTATCATTCGAAGCCAGAATGTAATTATGTGTATCAAATAATTGCTTATACATGTTACACTGGTAACGAACGTGAGTTGGCGGGAATTATTCTGCATCGGCAACCAGATCATTGACATATAGAAAAAAGTTCCGATAGAAAGGAAGATAATTAAGACATTTATATCATATACTTTATCAGGTATTTATTATCATGTATATTTTACTGAATCAATAAACTCGCCCTGATGGCTCGATTTTGCATATATAATCGCGTTTACTTTTACATGTGTATTATGTGAATTTATTTTTTTCATTTTTGCAAATGTATTAATCTGATACATTAATATCGTTGTATACTTTTCTTGGCGAAAGTGATCTGCGAATTAAGATGTTACATAATTTTTATTTGAAATCAAAGACTGGGCTCGATCCTTGGATAAACTCTGAAACTTCCGAATCCTTTCAAATCAAAAAAGGATACTGATAATTATATGAGACATGACTGTATTATCAAGATTTCTAAGTTTCCGGAAGAAAAAAGTATAATCCTTGATGCGGTACATAAACGCTTCCCTTTCTTGTCTTA